AAAAACTAAAAAGAAAACCCAAAAACTTACCTGACACACAATGGAATCGCATCCTTATGGAGTACGAGTTGAAATTTTTTGAAATTCTGGTCGAACAACCATTCACTCTCATTTCTGAAATGCCAGTCATCAAACGAGTTATTCAGAACAATCCATTTAAATTTTGACAAGGCTATTTTGATTTCGTTCAGAGAAATCTTAAAACTTTTCACGATTCGACGAGTTTGCTTGGATATCAGAGCAAAGAATATTCTGGAATTTAGACTTAAAGAGGAAGAATTCTGAAAAAGGGACTTACATATCGAGTATATTCCAGCTTTTGATAATAGATTCAATGCAGAGCCATGGAAGTTTTAGTAATGGAAGTTTAGATGGACGGGATGAAGACATTGCTCAGTGTTAATGAAAAGAAACTGAAAGGGAAGAGTACAAATCGATAGAAGACGTTCTGTGGTATGTGTTTGCAAGAATGAATGCTGTGTCTACTTGGGGCCCTTGTCCTTGCATAATAGACCAGGTGCACCTGTCATTAGAGCGCATTTGATGTGTTAATGCTAATAGCTGTTAGATGTTAAGCAACGTTCTCAGAGTCTCTTCAGAAGGAAATATTTATTGAATCTCAATTCAATTAGAAAATTGAAGCTGCATGAAGTTTGTTTAAAATTATTATTACTGAAAGCATTATTTGGAACGAGAAAGACATAAATGAATAGATATATTTTTATATTATTTAGAAAAGTAAGAGATTCAGTAGAATGAAAAACGCGGCACATTTTAGGTGCACCAGATTCATCGGTTATGCCAAATGTAGAACACAAATAGTCCTCTGCTGAGATGAATAGTTGCTTCTAAACCGTCATGACGAGCAATTTCCAGTCCTTCAGAAAAATCCAGTCCCTCAAATAAAATAAAATCCGATTCCGATCTGAAAATCGTATTCAATTCGTTGAGGTTAATTATTATGTAAACTCACGGTGGAACACGGGTTCTCTCACTGAATGGTACTGGATTCAATTCGTCCGTGTGAAAATTCTCCCGCGAAACCTGTGTGTTTTGAATGTAAATTAATAAATATTCCAATTTCTTATTGTCAGAATGGAACCAGTGGGTGACGAATGATAAAATATCTTCAACAGCAAATGGGCAGTTTTCAAATTTCAATTGAGAAACTTCAAACTGCAGAAGGATCTCCCTGGTGACCCAGGCACCTGAATCCATCGAAAACACCAATCTTTTGCATTTGAAAAGTTTTGGGTCAACATAGAAACCGTTTTCTGTGTTATTCAAATCTAAACTACATGTGCCAGTCACTTCCAGATTCTCTAACAACAGATTTAGCTTTCGGTTTAGGTTTTTGATTTGACCAAACGCATGTGAGTTTATATAGGTAACGGTAACACGCAGGTTCATAGTGGAACGGACACCAATATCTCCTGATTCTGGGAAGTTATCCCCATCAATGTCGACCTTTTCAACTGAGCACTTGAACACCTCATTCAAAAATTCCATCGCCATTTTTAATGCAATAATTTCATTTACATCGGTGTATGACTTGAGAGAATAGTCGGTTGTACTGGAAATTAATTTTGAATTTCTGTGATGGTTTTTTAGACTTACCTAGTGTACAATGGAACCGCATTATTTTGAAGCACAAGGAAATTTCTTCTCGAATACTGATGCTCATCAAAAACTTGATTCGCTTCATTTTCATCCTCGAAAACCCAATCATTATTCGAACTGCCTAGCCTTATCCATTTCTGATCTGACAGGAATATTCTGATCCCGTTTAGAGGAATCTTCAAATTTTTCACGATTTGATGGGGTCTCTTGGAGGAGAGAGCGAAGAAGATTCTGAAATTTAGATTTTAGGATGAAGGGTCTGACATTGTGGACTTACATCTCAAAAATATCCAAGCTTTTGACAACGGCTTCAATGCAGAGAAATGGGAGCTTGAGAAGTGGAAATCGGACCGGACGGGAGAGAGACATTCTCCAGTATTAATGGAAATACACTGAATGGTGAGAGTACAGAGCGATTGAAGACGTTGTCGTGTATTTGTTTGCAAAAATGAATGAGTGTTTTGAGTGACCTAGTCAAGACGAGGAAAGGTTGAATGCTGTGTTTAACATGGTGCTTTGTACTTGTATAATAGGCCAGGTGCACCTGTCATTAGAGCGCATTTGAACGGTCAACGATAATATCTGTTAGAATTTTATCAGAACTCTCAGAGTCGTTTCAAAATGAACTATTTATTGAATCTCATTTTATTTATTATGAAACAATTAAGAAGATATCATAAGGTGGAAGCCACATGAAAAAGCTGCGTTTATCAAGAATTGATATTACTGAAAGCATTGTTTAGAGGGACAAAGATATATGTTTATATTCTATTTAAAAAGAATTTAGTGAAATGTATTGAACGGTGTGGTCCCTTTTCAGCGTCATCAGGTTCATTGATCATGCCAAACGTAGAACATGAAAGTTGTCATTTCAACATGAATAGTTGCTTGTAAACCGTCATGACGGACGATTTCCAGTCCTTTGGAAAAATCAATTCTTACAAATTCTATTCTGTTAATTCTGAAAATGGAATAAGATTAGCTGAGAAAAAACAGTAGATAAACTCACGGTGGAATACGATTTCTCTTCCTGAATGGTACTGAATTTAATTCTTGCGTTTGAAAATCCTCTGAATCAATCTGTCCACATGTTTCAATACATAAGTATTCCAATTTCTTATTGTCAGTATGAAACCAATTAGTGACGAATGAAACGATGTCTTCCACAGAAAACGGACAAGAATGGAAGCTTAATCGAGGAACTTCGAACTGCAGAAGGATCTCCCGAGTGACCCAGGCAGCTGAACCACCGGGCCAAAACACCAATTGCTGGCATTTGAAAAGTTTTGGGTCAACATGAAACCCCTTTTCTGTCTTAGTCTCCAGAAAATCGCATCTGCCAGTCACTTCCAGATTCTCCAGCAACAAATTCAGTTTTTGACTTTGAGCATAACCAAACGGCCGTGAACTATTTTGGTTAATACACAGATTTTCAGTAGATTTGACACCAATATCTCCTGAGACTGGGGTGTTGCGCTTTTCAATGGAGACAAGTTCAACTGAGCACTTGAAAACATCAGTCAGAAATTCAATAGCCATTTTTAAAGCAGTTATTTCATTTCCATCAGAGTATGAGTTGAGGGTATCATTCGTTCTACTGAAAAAACATGTTTTGAATTTTGACTAAAAAAAACTGAAAAACTCTCAAAACCCCAAAAACTTACCTGGTATACAATGGAATCGTATTCTTTTCGAGCACAAGGGGATGACTTTTCGAATACCGGTCGAACAACGATTCCAGACGTGTATTCTTGAAATTCCACGTTTTACACATGCCGAGCTCAATCGATTTCTGTCTTAGTAGACGTAATTTAATTCCGCTCAGAGGAATATTCAAACTTTTAACGATTCGACGAGTTTTCTGGGAGATGGCAGCAAAAAATATTCTGGAATTAAGAATTTCAGATGAATGCACGTAAAACAAGAAACTTACATTTCAAAAATATCCCAGCTTTTAACAACGTCTTTAATGCAAAGCCATGGAAGCTTGAGTAATGGAAACTTGGCAGGGCGGGAAAGAGACATTGCTCAGTGTTAATGAAGATGAGCTATATGATGAGAGAATTGATCGAAAGAAGACGTTGGGTGGATTGTGTTTGCAAAAATGAATGAGTGTGATGAGTGACCTAGTTAATACGAGGTAGGGTTGAATGATGTATGCAGTTGACCCCCTTTTATAATAGGCCAGGTGCACCTGTCATTAGCATTTGATGGGGTCAACGATAATATCTGTTAGATTTTTATCAGAACTCTCAAAGTCTTTTCAAAATATCATATTTCTATATTTCAATTCAATCAATCTTTACTGTTAACAATGACCGCTTTCTGTGTGTTTGTTTACTTATCTCTCAACCTAGAGCCATTCTCACTGGACCGATTTTCATGATTTTTCCATATTTCGATAAAGAATTTACTGGAGATGATGCCGGCCTTTTTCATTTTTCATGTGGAGCTCTGTGGAGCTCTGTGCCAAGATAGGGCTCACAAACGACTCGCTGGCAGGATCGGCACTTCTAACTAACGTAAACTGGCACAGTCGAAATTATCACACCCATCGGAATTGAATTATTATTTTCAACCTTATCATTTCTCAATTTTTCATGAACACCATTTTGAGACTGACGTTTTCCCAAGCGAACTCACCCAGCCCGTGTTGTACAATAGGACAGGTGCACCTGTCATTAGAGCGTTAGATTTCTATCGGAATCCTCAGAACCTTTTCAAAATAAAATATTTATAAATCTCAATTCAATTAATTATAAAGCAATCAAAAGGAAATCACAGACAAAAGAAAATTGAAGCTGCATGAAATTTATCAAAAATTATTATTAATGAAAGCATTCTTGGAGGGAACAAAGACACAAATATATATGTTTATATTATATTTCAAAAAAAAGTTTGATATGTATAATCTTTGGGTTTTCTCAATGGATTTCAACTGAAAAGATGTTGAGGGTGGAAGAACTAGAAAAAGGATAGGAGCAAATCTATCTAGATGGGCGTGACTAGACAGGAAGAAAGAAAGGGAAAAGAAGGATTTAGTGAAATGGATCGACCCGTGTGGACACATTTTAGAGATAAGGCGATTACTTATTATTGACATGGTGCTCGATGGCGTTGTTCTCGTTCTGGCGGGTGGTGTTGCGGCGGCGGAAAGAGAATTTGCTCTGGAAATGATATAGGTAACTTCAGAAAGAAAAAACAAAAGGAATTGACCCAGCGGGGGGTCGAACTCGGGTGGAAAATTCTAAGGCAGCAGCGTTAACCTCTGCACCACTCAGTGCGGAAGCTACGCAGCGCCGACATAGAGACAGAGAGACGGGGGAGGGGGAGAAAAGGCGGCAGTATTGTTATCGCCCTCTCTCCCACAACTGTTTGCTGCGTGCGTGGCGCAGTGGTTAGCGCTGTTATTTTTGAAATTTTCAACCCGGGTTCGACCCCCCGTGGGGTCAAACTTTTTTTTTTTTTTTTTTTTGAATTTCCCCCGCCTTCTAGAGATCCAGAACTCACTCTAAAAGAGCTCTTCTCTTTCACCGAATTCCTATTCGAAGGTGGTCGTGAGGTCTTCTGACTGTCCGCGTCCTCACTATCCTCCTTGTCATAAATACGGTATTCTGGGTTGGTCATGTACCAGTGAAGCATCACATCGTATAGGTACTTGTACTCGTCCTAAATTTTCAAATTTTAGAATTTCGGCGGAGCGCGTTTGCATTAGTTTTCAAACCTTCATATCAATCAACTGTGGTCTATTGATCCTCATCATTTTGACGGCGTGGAACACGTCGACTTCGTGATCAATATCCATTTGATCAATGCAAATATTTGCGCCAATATAGACGCCGACGCGTGATACTCCATTACTAGAAAAAATTTATCGGTAGAGCGCAGTTGCGTTTGGGGAAAACTCACTGTGACATGACGATGGTTGGCTTGGTCTCCGGACGGTCTGGTGCACGTTTTCTCCAGCTTCTGGCCATCTTGATGACGTCGATGAGGCCAGTGGTGGAGAGTGGGACTTTGTTTTCGATCGGCCACATGCGGACCTGGAAATGGATAGAATAGAATTCGTGGTGGGACCAGGAATCTAAAATTCTAACTTTTACCAAAGCCAGGCATGATTATACTGATCTGAACCGTCTTGACGAGCTAATTTCAAATATGTAGTTTTCATTGAGCTAGCTTCAAAATTGACTGAGATCGGTAGTTTTTAAATTTTCGTGATGGGACCCAAATTCTCAGATTTTTCAAACCTAGTCATGATTATACTCATTCAAACTGCTTCGTCGTGCTGATTCTAACAGTACAAATTTCATGAAATTAGGGTCAAATTTAACAAATTTACAGTAGTTTTTAGATTTTCGCTTCAAGACCCAGCTACCGTATCTCGGTCGGTTTTGATCCTAGTACGGTGAAATATATACCATTGGTATAAGCAAGTCAAGCCGGTTCGAACGAGTATGATCAAGACTAGGTTTCAAAAAAAATCAAAAATTCGGGAATTTTTGGGTCCCACCACGAAAACTCAAAATCTACCGTAACTCAGTCAGTTCTTATCGTAGAACGATGAAAAATATACGGTTGGATTCAGCGAATTAAGCAGATTCAAATGAGTATAATCTTGACTAGATTTCGAAAAAAAAATTTTCTGACCTTAAAGGCGCACGGTCCTAGAATTATAACCATACCTGAATAACACAACAAATTCGAACTTCCGCATCAATTTGTTGATTCTGCGCTCCAGTAGCCATAATATCGCTGATCATGAATGTCTGAAAATTGGTCAAAATTATTTTTGGAATTTCAGATTTTTTGGGGGCGGGGCAAGGAAAAGCCGAATCACTCTGGTTAGTGGTTTTGTTGTAATTATTTCGATTATTTTAGTGAGGTGATTTTTTGGATAAAGGGTTGTGTGGGTCTATCGGAATTTTTTGAAAAAAATTCGAAAATTTTTTTTTCAAAATTTTTTGTCCACTAGCAGATTGGGGGCGTGGTTTGGAAAGAATCAACACGATGGGATAATTTTAGTTTTTTTTTTTCAAAAATCAAAAAAAAAAACTGAAATTACCCCAAAAAAAAAGAAAAACCAAAAATTAGCAGAGTTCCTGAGAGAGAGTTAAACAACGAGAGACAAATTGACATACAGAAGCAAGTGCGCTCCATTGAGAAAAAAATGTTAGCGTGATAAGCATGTGGTTAGGGCCCAAAACAACACATAACACATAACAAAAAAATGAGACCAGCTTCTGAATTTGTTTGGTAGTCTCTTTCTGAAGATCTGCCTTCTCTCTGCGTATATTCAGAAGGCGTTTGATGTCGGCCGCACCCTTCTGTAAACAACAACGGACAACTGGACAAACAGACATCACTTTGAAAAAAAAATGAAATTTTTTTAGGCGAAACTAAGAAAAATTCAAAAAAGTGGACACAGTTCCCCACCAGGTTCAAAAAGGCGAATTTAACCACACTGCACCAGACACGTTTTGCTTTTTTTGGACGATATGGACTATATTATATGCAACTCACTAGTTTTGACACCCCCTTACCCTCAGGGTCGACCTTCATTGGCGGAACCTGGTGGGGCTGCAATAGAATTGTTTATTTAAAAGATGGGATTAAGGTAATGGGAGAGTTTGGCCTAGGTGTGTGTCTAAAGACCTGAGAAAATTGAACTGAATTCAAAAAATTTGGAAGTGCCTGTTTTTATTCTGGAAATCGCTGAATTATCGGAAGTTATGGCTTGTGAGGCCTGTGATACAAATTCATATGTGTTCAAAGCGGTATATCCCAGTTGTCGTTAGAGCTATCAAAAAGTGTTTAACTAATAAAATACTTAAAATTTATTGATGAACATTTTATCAGTTGACAACTTTTTGATAGCTCTCAATACAACAGAGATAACCGCTTACAGTACTACCTGCCTGAGGCGCCCAGTACTGTATGTTCAAAAAAGTTTATCTTGGTTGTCTTGAGAGCTATCAAAAAGTTTTTAACTAATCAAATATGTACCGTCGAATTTTCAAGATTTTACTAGTTGACTCCGTTATCTTTAGAGTTATCAGAAAGTGTTTAACTAGTAAAATGTCAAACATTTTTTGTTAAATATTTCTTTAGTTGATCACTTTTTAATAGCTCTTAAGACAACCAAGTTACACTGCTCCGAACATAGAGTACTTGCTGCGCCTCCATTAAGAGAAGGCAGCGCATCTTAATCCGCATTTATCTCAAAGATGAATAAAGCTATCGAAAAATAGTCAACTAGCAAAATGATTTACAAAAAATTTTACGTATTTTATTAGATGACAACTTTCTCATAGCTCTTATCTGTACAAAGTTATATCTATTCAAAGAATAGGGCTCGACGACGTGAAGGTACGAGCTGCGTTCACCGGTTACACCTGTTTTAAATTCAGACAGTTCTATCTCAAAAACTAGAATAATTATCAAAAATTTGTCAACTAACAAAATAATCTCTATAAAATTTTACGTATTTCATCAGTTGACAACTTTCTCCTAGCATTTTCCAGAAAAAAGTTATAGATTTCCAAAATTTTCGAATTTAGATTTTCTCTAGGTCATCATTTCTCACTAAATTCCTAGTTTGTATTCAGAAAAAAAGTTTCAGAAACCCTATAAACGACACACGCACAAAAATTCACAATTTGTAAGTAGAATTAACGAAAAATCTCGAGAAAATTCAAAGATGAGAATAGGTAAGGAAGGAAAAATCCAAAAAGTATAATGAGCGGGGGGAACGGGCGGTATGTTCAGGATAAGGATGGAAAAAATCGACCGGATATGACAAAGGGTTCATAAACGGAGGGGGTAGGCAAAGCTCTCTGATCTAGCACCTCTCGGAACGGATCCTCCGCCGATCTGCTTCGTCGTTTCAGTCCCGATCCCGATCCTCCTGCGCCGTTACGCGCCGGCGGCAAATTCAAAAATTGAGTCGAAGAGGTTTTCCGTGCCGGCCTCGGGGGCAGCAACAGGTTACTGGTAGTACTCAAGTCTTCTTCAGAAGACGTCGAGGACGAGTCGTGCGGTTCACGGAACCTGCCCCGATACATTGGCTTGAACCGGAACGATTGCCCGGGGATGATATCCGGACGGGACTGATAGCCCGGCACGCCCTCCAGTGTCGGGATTTTTGCGGCGGGACGCGCGTTTGGCGGGTCGATCTGTTTTTGGTTTTTTGTTCGGTAGGTCAAATATTTTCAGAATCCTAAAAAGTTCAAAAAAAAGGAACACTCAATATGAAAGAACCAAGAGATAGAGATAGAAAAAAAATGTGTGTGTAGAAGTGAGAGAATTCAAAAAAAAAAATCAAAAAAATATTAAAATTTTCGAAAAAAAAAATCCAAAACCAGAAATTTTAGGACCTACCCTTTTCATAACCTTCACCATGTGACTCGTCATTGCCGGGTACTGATGGTAGTTCATGATTTCGACAATGAATGGGCCATAGTTGGCCTTTCCCTTGTTATGGATGAAGGAGGGGTAGTGCTGAAAATAGAAGAGATCAGTCTGTCTGTCTGTGTGTCTGGTGTCCCGATGACTCAATATCTATAATTTAGGATGTTCAAGTATCTGAATAGTCGTATATCTGTCTGTTAGTGTATCTGTTTATTTGCCTGTCTATCTGTTCATCTCTCTGTCTGTCTGTCTGTCTGTCTATCTGTCTATCTGTCTGTTTGTCTGTCCGTTGTCTGTCCATCTGTCTGACTGTTTGTTTGTCCGTTTGTCTGTCTGTGTGTCCAGATATCCAGCTACCAGCTTTCTGTCTGTCTGTCTGTCTGACGGGATATCTAGATGTCTGTCCCGTAATCCAGATGTCTTGATATCCAGCCTCTCAACTGACTGTCTGTTCTAATACTGGACCACCTCGATGTCCGGATGTCCGGATGTCCAGATGTCTACTTGTCTGTCTGTCTGTCTGTCTGTCTGTCTGTCTGTCTGTCTGTCCGTACATCCAGATATCCCCATCTTCTCCCACCCCCAAACTCACCCTCTGTGATCCCTGATTGCTCAAATTGACGACCGTATGACACGCGTGATCATAAATCAGTGTCCAAAACGAGTCGACAGTGCTCTGTTTCGGCCATTCGGTCACAATGAATTCGGCTTTTCTAGTGAAACCGTCCACCTTAAAATCACTTTTGTTGTAATCTATCGGCCTCTATACCAGTTTTTTCATGAGAAGATTAATGTGTTTAGTAATCAGATCTATCTGATTTCACTACTACTACTCACCTCCACTGCATTGATATATGTATAATCTTTGCTTTCTCCGTGTAGTGTTTGGAGGTATGGACGAGCGTGGTCAGCTGCAATTTTTTTCGTTTTTATTTTTTTTTCTCTAAACGGTCTGTCTGTGTGTCTGTCAGCAAAGTGGTTTTTGATTTTTAGTTTTGATTTTTTCGAATTTTCATTCGATTAGTGGTGAAGATCCTAACGC